AAGCACGCGGGTGCGGCCGCCCCCTGAGCCCCCCGTGCCCCCCGGGAGGGCTGGGGGAGCTGCTGCACCCCGCAGGCTTGGGCTCCCACGGGCTACTAGCCTGACCCACTGCTCTCAGCTGAGTATTGCAAAAGGTGCTGTACCGCTACGGTCCCTACAGAGGTCCTGCAGAGCAAGAGAGGTTATTCAGTAACGACCAAACAACGCCGGAGGAATCGGACACCGTGGACTTCACTGACAGACAACGAGGCTTGGCTATCAAAAACCATTTGGGCAAGAGAATTATAAGAATCCAGTGTAAAAAATATCTCTTGATTTTTTTCTGTATAATTTTTGGGCTAATATTCTTACCTTGTTTTTGTAAGGGTGTTAAGTGTATTTCTGTCACCTATAACCTACCGAGTTCACGAACTAGACAATATCTCCTCATCTCTGTCTCATCTTTCATGTCTTTATAAAACAAATGACCAAAAAAGCAAATCTTGATTGGTAAACATCTGTGCACAGTAAGATCAGTGGTTGAAGTGATCCCTAACTAATAGAAACACAAAAGCCAGCAACAACAATGGTTCTTTTTGCTGTTGAGTTAAAGGGAAAAAGGGACTTCTGTGGTCTAACTTATTTTCTAACTTACATTGCAACGTATTGTTAATCTGCAGCGTTCAATGAAGTCAGACATCTCCCTCCTTTTGTTTTCTAGGCTTTTCCAAATTCTACTGAACATGGTTTGAAGAACCCCACTATGATTCCCCAAAAAATCATATGATACAGAACTGAGCATTAGGTTCTTGGATCCTAATTAGTACTCCACAAATCTCTAAAGACTATAGCTATAAAAACATCTTGGCAAATGTTAATATTAATTTTTTTAAATGCCACCAGTCTCAAGAAGGGGCAAGGTATATGATATTTCCTTAGGTAAAAAAATCTGTGCCATGGTAGACAGGGGACAAGATGAGCGACTCAGAGATGTGTGGAGCTCAAAGTGGAAGAGACTTACAGGGTAGAAATACCATCGTCTTCTAAATTGTGTGCTTTTTTAAAATGGCAAAGACGTGCTCAAGCAGCACTTACCTCATTTTGGGAATAACTCTTTCAGGTTTTCTTACATACTCCGTGAGTATGTAAGGTCTTAAATAATTAGGCCAGATCTTCTAGTCAGGTAAACTAAAAACATAGAAATAAATACCCTTTGGAAACACTCACCTTAAAGATATTTTTTACTCTAAATACATTGCACCTTTTTGACTATCTAGTCATTCTTATCCTGGCCAATACGTCCCCTCTCACAGATCTGCTTGCTGCCTGCTCTTGGGCAATGCCTGGCCACTTATTTACACAGTATGCTTTCTCATGAATAGTTTATGATGCTTACTTTCTGTAAAAAGCGCAGATTCAACACTGTGGTTTTTTTTTAAATATACTTTTTTTGATTAGTTTTTTTAAATACACAGTACACAGACAAAACATGCATCAGTTTTAGGAGGCTTTATACCTGTCAAGGCCCAGTTCCTATCTGCTAAGCTTAGTGGTTGATTTGCTCTTTCCTGTGGGAGTCTTAGTGTTTGGGGAATGGTGGAAGGAACTGCCAGATCCTTTTGGACCATTCTTGCTTGGTTTGTTGCAGCAGTGCTCTTGTTGGCAGGATCTCCTAGAAGATGAGGAGCCTGAATGGCTAGGAGGTGATTTACTCCTCCCAAGATGTGGGGATGAACTCCTCTGATCATGATGGGGTCTCCCAGCCCGGGATGGAGAAGAACTGGCAGTACGGGGTAAAGAGGAGCTCCTGGGGGAGGCACTGGGACTCCGTCGGGGGATGACAGGACTTTTGGGTGGCGTTTTTGGACTATGTGGAGATCCTGGGCTCTTACACTGGGTAGAACTCCTCGGTCTCTGAGATCCGTTCTGTAGGATTTGAGCCAGACGAGAGATAAGATCCGAGTCCGAGCTGCTACTCTCTAGGACTCTGCATCTGCGGAACCTTCAGAAGGAAGGAAGAAAGATTATTTCTGTTCCCATCTATTCACTTAAGTTCATACAGAAACACAGTATCACTAGAAACTAGGGATGAGATTATACTGTAGACAGGACACCTGGAGCTGAACTGTAAGGTAGAGGTGTCTGGATCTAGGTTTTGGCTTCTGTGCTGTTCAGACCAACACAGTATTTACGTTTGTCTGAACTCACTCACATAAACAGCCTAAGTGTTTACAGGATAACTGAAATTTCCTGGTGATGATGGAAAAAGTGCACTGAAGAACAGTGCTGATCACCTCCTCAGCTTTGGAGGGGTACATCCATTCCCACACACCACCAATACTCAATTTGAAGGGATCACAAAGCACAGCACAGCTTCCTTCAGAGGATTTCTCACTACTCTATCAAAATTCTCCTTAGCTTGGTAATGTAGGCACTAAAGAAACTAGATCATGGTTGTCTGTATATAGAATTGGCAAGGGATGGCTTCTAGAATTCACTCTGCTCTCCCTTAGCTAGTTGTTTTTACATAGCCATGATCTGAGCATAGCTAACTCAATATTCTCCAAACCTGAATACTTAAAAAGTCTACAATAAGGAGAATTTAGTTTTCAACGAGGCTGGACATGACAGATCCTATTGGTATCTCTGGGTTTGTGAACAATCAACAGTTCCACAAAAAGTGACCCCACTTTAAAAAACAAGTGTAAAGAGTTATAATTGGCATGTTTCAAAATATTAAATACACTTCTACTGATGTATAAGGTTTAACAGTGAAAGAGGCTCATTCTTGTGTAACAGCTTTTCCTCATTCATTCTCCAACAGCATAAGACTCCTCAGAGAACTGAAGCCCAGCATTCTTCTAAACTTAGGTAAAAGATGGAATTTCTACAGGATTATATACTGCATAGGAACTGTAGTCTAGCTCAAATCCATTTTCAACTCAAAAGCCTATTTCTATTTTCTCTGCATTACCTAGTTTCTGCCCTAGTTCTAGCAGGTGGTTTTCCTGGTGGTGGCCGAGGAAAGAACAGAGCTGAACTTGAATTGGTGACTTGATCCATGGTTGCCCAGGACACCGGCCTTGGAATCTTGCTTTTTCTGGACTGAGGGCTGCTTGGAGATAAAGAGCTATCTTCTGTCTGCTTGCTGAAATGAGAGTCCAGTGTCAATCTAGAAAATGAGGATAAGACATCATCCTCAGAAAACGGTACTGGAGCAGGAGCCATTTTTTCCTCCAGTGACTTATCAGAGGCACTTGAGAGGTCACCAAGGAAAGATTTGAGCTGTTTCTTTTCCATAAGTAGTCTGACCAAGTCTGTCTGATGGGCCTTTTTTAGAAGAAGTTTTTCCTTTGCTGAAACAGGAGAAGAAGAGTCTGACGTTGAGTCTATCTCTTGTGCTAAAACTGGGATTCGGCTCTGCCTGAATACAAAAGGAGATTTAACTAAGTCCCTCCTAGATCGATGAGAATTCTCATTTTCTGAAATGCAGTGGACTAACTCCCCATTTCTGGGAGCACTTTTCTCTTTTTTGTCCTCCTGGTGCAAAAAAGTAGTAAGGGCCACTTGGTGGCATTTCAAGTCTTGGATATGGACTTCTTCCTTATTAGAATGAAAACCATTTTCCTGAACTGGTGCTATTTTACTTCCCTGTCTATTCACATGGGGGCTGTTGAGTTTTGAGGGAGAAAATTGTGACGGTTTAGGTGCTATGGATTTCAGAACCTCATCTTGATTTGGCACCAAAGAGATGGGCCTTGGCTTTGATTCTTCAGCAGCTTCGGTATTCATTAGAGGTTCTTCCTCTGCAGATTTTGAGTTTTCTGGCAACCAATTCTTTTCTTTGCTTAACATTTCAATAGGGTCCTCAGAAACCACGGGAACTCTTTCTTCCTCAGCCTCCTCTACAGGAATATTTTCAAGTTCCTTCTCTTCCTGTATCCCACCATGTTGTTCAGGTGGGTCCTTTTGGCCACAGTCCAGGATGTTGGCACATTCTTTGACAAGTCCTTCCTTGTCAAGCACCTCTTGGCTGATATTAAGTACCAAATCTGGTCTGCTGGCACTAGCTGGAAGTGAGTCTTCTGTCACAACCAAACCTGGCAAACTTTCCTTTGGAGAGGAAAGTTCCACGCTGTGTTCCACAGATTGAGCATCCTGCTCTCTTTTCTCTAGCTGGTGGCCATAATGAAAGCTCTCTGAAGCAGACTGTGTGGATGCCACTGAAGGTCTGGGTATTGTTACCTGCATTGGAAAATTAGAGAAGGAAAAGGTGATAAACTCAGGAATGTTATACAGATAACATTCTTTAAAGAGCATTTTATATTCCATGTCTTCAAGACACATTATACAATGATTCCTGTGAATCATAATGTTCAAATAATGCTTAACTTAATAATTTACATCCACATAATTAAAAAACAAAAACACCCAGCAACTTTACCATCCTGAGACAGAAATGTGTAGCAGGCAAAACCAAACAATCTCAGTGGGAAATGCTGCAGTTACCAAGTAACCCTCCTGGAAATGAAATCTAGCCTAACAGGAAGGCTTGTATTTATTCTGCATTAGTTTGAACACTCTTAGAAAAAGTCATATATAAACGTAAAATCTTTAACAAGTACACAACAATATTTTTAGACAAATACAGAAGACAACACAGAGAGGTCCAGATTCAGGAATGGACTTATTTAAGCAGAATTTAGATACTTTGTTAACAAAACAATTAACAAAAAAACATTATTTATGTAATTAAATACACTCATACCCATAATATCTACAATTTGTCCAGAAAAAAACTTTTCTAAGTACCCAAGTCTTACCTATTACCTTCCCTATAGATGCTTATACCTTGTTTTAACTAAGCAACCTGGTTAGAACATCTCCTTAGCTAAGGTCATTAAGAGCTTCATAAACTAAATATTCACACATCTAAATCCCCTAACAAGTCTAATCCAACAGATGCACTTAAAGTACTCCTAAAACTTATGTCTAGTATTGAGTCAGAGACCCACTGACAACCTGGTTATGAGGAAGGTGAATGGTTATGATAAAGGTGAGACTGCACACACAGCTGAAACAGGGACAGGTGTCCTGGGGGGATACAGGGTCACTGCCCAGTTACACAGGGATAAAGTCAGGAAGGCCAAGGTGCAGCTAGAGCTGAACTTGGCAAGGGACACAAAGAAAAATAAAAAGGCATTCTCTAAGTATCTCAATCAGAAAACAAAGGTCAAAGGCGGTGTACCCCCCTGGTGATACACAATGGTGAATTAGTTACAGCAGATGAGGAGAAGGCTGAGGTACTCTACTCAAGAACTTCTTTGCCTCAGTTTTCACCGGTAACCTCTCTACTCACAGCCCTCAATTGGTGGCCCACAGGACAAGGGCCTGGTAGACAAAGTCCCTCCCACTGTAAGCAAGGACAAGGTTCATGACTACCTGAGGAACCTGAACATAAACAAGTCCATGTGACCTGATGGGGTGGATCCCAGAGTATTGAAGGAACTGGCTGATGCAGTTGCTGAGCCACTCTCCATAATGTTCGAGAAGTCGTGGCAGTCAGGTGAAGTCCCTAGTGACTGGAAAAAGGGTAACATCATAGCCACCTTTAAAACAGGTAAAAAAGAAGACTCTGGGAACCACTGACCTGTCAGCTTCACCTCTGTGCCTGGGAAGATCATGGAACAGATCCTCCTAGAAGAATGCTAAGGCACATGGAGGACAGGGAGGTGATCCTAGGTAGTCAGCATGGATTCACTAGGGGTAGGTCCTGCCTGACCAACCTAGTGGCCTTCTATAAAGAAGTGACCATATCAGTTGACAAGGGAAGATCTATGGATGCCATCATGGACTTCTGCAAGGCCTTTGACACCACCCCCCATAACACCCTAAACTCTAAATTGGGGAATTATGGGTTCGATGGGTGGACTGTTCAGTGGATAAAGAACTGGCTGGATGGTCACATCCAGAGAATGACGGTCAATGGCTTGATGTTCAGATAGAGGATGGTGACAAGTGGTGTCTCTCAGGGGTCTGTGCTGGGACCAGTGTTGCTTAATATCTTCACTGATTATATTGATAGCAGCACTGAGCACACCCTCAGCAAGCCCATGGATGATACCAAGCTGGGCAGCACAGCTGATATGCCAGAGGGACAGGATACCATCCAGAGGCACCTGGACAGGCTGAAGATGTGGGCCAGATGAACCTTATGAGGTTCAACAAGGTCAAGTGTAGGGTCCTGTATCTGGGCTGGGACAACCAGATATACTATCACCTATACTGATAGTATAGGCTGGGAGAGGATCTACTGGAGAGCAGTCCTGTGGAAAGGGACTTGGGAGTGCTGGTGGATGAAAAACTGGACATGAGCCACCAATGTGCAATTGCAGCTCAGAAGGCCGATCGCATCCTGGGCTGCATCAAAAGAACTGTGGCCAGCAGATGGAGAGAGGTGATTCTGCCCTGGTGAGACCTCATCTGGAATAGTGTGTCCAGTTCTGGAGCCCCCAGCACAAGAAGGATATAGACATATTGGAGCATGTCCAGAGGAGAGACACCAAAATGATCAAGGGATTGAAGCACCTCTCGTACGAAGACAGGCTGAGAGAGTTGGGGCTGTTCAGTCTGGAGAAGAGAAGGCTCTGAGGGGACCTTGTAGTGACCTTCCAGTACCTGAAGTGGCCTACATGAAGGTGGGGGAAGGTCTATTCAACAAGGATTTGTAATGATAGGACAAGGAGTAATGGTTTTAAACTAGGAAAGAATAGACTTAGACTCAATATTAGAAAAAAAATTTCTTTAATATAATAGTAATAGATCACTGGAATGGGCTGCCCAGAGAGGTAGTGGAGGCCCCAACCCTGGAGTCATTGAAGGTCAGGCTTGATAGGGCCCTGGGCGACCTGACCTAGGCAGAGATGTCCCTGCTTGTGTAGGGACGTTGGACCAAATGACCTCTACAGGTCCCTTCCAGCCTAAAACATTCTATGATTCTATGATTTTGTGATGAGTGCTGCCTCTAGTACACAGCTTAATTGCTAAAGCACATGTCCAAGAAATGGGAAACCTAAATTCTGTGAAGAGGAGTCCTAGATTCTGGTTTATGCATATTGAATCATTTGCTATAAACGCTTTTCTCTACACAATTAGAGAGTTCAGCTCCTTTTTGTGTTCTACTCCTTAGCCTCCAGATTTTGACACAGTTGGAGTCTGTAATTACCCAACAGAAGGTGGAAGACTGGAGTCTGGGTTTGGACACGAAGACTTTTTTGATGCACTGATGCTAGAAGAGACAACTCAGCAGTAGCCTATTTCCAGCATTGTCAGGAGTCTGCTCTGTTACAAGACAGACTTCACTTGACATTGTTATATAAATTATAGATGCTGCTGACCTTACTGGGCTTTTGCAAGAGCTAGTACATTGGCACTACTGGGTGGTAGAGACCAACCTCACCTGTCAGGACCTGTAACAATTTATACTGTGTACTGAAACTTCACAAATACAGAACAACTCTCCAACATAAGGAATGGGAACTGACAGGGAAGGAGATATAGTCAGATTTCCCATGACAGTATAATAGCTCCATTGAAATTCAGATTTATTGGGGTTTTTTTTACATTTTCTTCATAGTCCTGTATAACAGAATTTCCATCATTATGGCTGCATATTTACCTCCATGAAACACACCATTCAATGGGTATTATAAACTGTTCACTAGAACAAAACATAGAACACAAATCACAGGCATGAAACTGAATTAAAGAGAGGACAATTATTTATGTTAAAGAAAATATATTCTGAACCCCTCTAATTTGCCTAATGCAGTTTTTGGACCTTAGTCTAAAAATGTGGAATCATATTCTTGAGAAATTTGAAATAAAATTAGAAGAAAAATATTTTTTTTTTATTTTATAAGTAGGATTTGCTACTAGGCTACAGAAAGTGGTATTTTTCACTGGGGGGGGAAGAGCAGAAATGTAAGATAATTGAACTCATTTTCCCAAGTAGATCTAAGCTGTAGCATCTTCCCCAAGTTGAGATTTATTGAAATAGAGGAAAAAGAAAAAAAAAAAAAAAAAAAAAAAAAAAAAAAAAAAAGGAAGAAAAAACCAAATCAACCAACCAACCCACTGAGACCTGCAGCAAGAGGCTACTTCTTGTCTCCTTGCTAATTTGTTTACAAGTTCAGGCCAACTCAGTTCTTTCGTGCTCACTGAATTAAAATGGTACATTGAGAAACAAACTGAAGTTACTTAGTTCTGGTGAAACAGTCCTCCTCACCTCCTCTTACTCTCAGTCTGGGTTCTCTCCTCTGAAAGAAACACTACTTCCCTTTTGAGTTAGAGAAGTCTTTCAAAGCTTTCTCATGAGAGAATCCAAGCACATGAGCTCAGCTACAGAAAGAACAGAGGAAATTGAATTTTTTTAAAAGGTACCTTTCCATGATTAGGTCAATTAGTACCTAAATATTGAGTGTTCAACTAAAATAGTGCAGCAAGAATTCTGCACAGAAAGGAAAAGGGACAAAACTGGATAAAAAAAAAAAAAAAAAAAAAAAAAAAAAAGAAGGGTCTAGAAAACAGGGCAGCTACCCCATAGGTTTCCATACATCTCTAAGAAGTTGCTTTGAGGGAACACATCTCCAGGTATCATGCATGGAAGGCCTTGCTTTCATATGACAGAGGAACGTATTTTGGTCTGTCACACAAAAATCATCAGATCCATTAGAAATTCTCTGCTACAAGCTGAGTAAGAGTGGGTTCAGGAAATTTTAATTCAGTACTATCTTTAGAAGAGCAGGTTCAGATTTCAGAGAGATTACTTGGACATTTGCTGTCTGCTCAGCTTTGTCTCAAGCTTGTTTCAAAGCCTTGTTCTCCATGGCTGCAGTCAACATTTGCAAAGTAAGGAAATCTGGTAAAACATTTTTTTGCAAACTTTTCACTTGATGAGCTACTCTGGTTGTCAATTCAAATAACCCAAGAATCAAAGCCACAGAGTTGTTTTCATTGTATCTGAAGAAGGATGGCTTCCTTTAGAATAGAATGGTTCTGGTCTCTTTTCAATTTTCAGAGGTAAGACAACCTTAGTTATTTGCTTTTAGGAGGATATTTATCTTCTTGGTACATTTCCAGAAGGGCTGCAATTGCATTTAAATCCTCCTTTGCTCAAATACGTTTACATAGAAACTCCATGTTCCATGTGATCTCTCTCTCATATGTCAATTCTTTGTTAGGTG